CGTCAGTCCTCCGAGCCGCAACTTTTGGGCGCACAGTTCGCATGCACCGTGTCCTCGGTTTCTGCACTCGCTCCAACAGGCCGACATCTCTCCTTCGCTCAGCAAGCTTGCGCTCACGATACCGAGAGGATCGTCGAAACCAGTCTGCTGGAGAGGAATGCAATCCCGGGTTTTCCCAACAGGTTGCAGCGTTGCGTACTTTGCGCACTGCTGCTCGCAGTCCGTCAGACCCAACACTACACCGCACATTATTCGAGCCGCAACATAGCAATCACCACCTAGTACCGTCGGTGTCGGTATCGCAACCTCGCTCCTGAGTACATTCTTCTTTGTGGTCTTAGAGGGAGCCGGAACCACATCCTTGTGGCCTCCTGTGTCAGCCATTTTTTTCAACTGCTTTTCGCTCTCGGTGTACCACAGCGGAGCGATTTGATTAGGGTCCTTGTAAACGCCGACTCCGTTTTCGTGCCGCCATGGAGGCAATGGGCTTCCCAGTTTGCCCGTAGGCAGTGGGCCGGTTCTTGGGTCGCCTGTAGGTAGGTCGTAAAATGTCGAGGGGAAGGGCAGTTTGTTTTTTCGGGGAGCGACCTTGGATGGGGCGAATGGACTGACAGCGGGATCTACGGGGGTTGCTGAAGCAAGAGAGAAGAGAGTCACAAGCAGAAGGCCTTTGAGCTCCATCTTGTCGGTGTTGCTCTGATATTTTGATGCCTGTCAGATTGGCTGTGGAGAAATATCTTGGGAAGTTGAAAAAATTCCAAAGAGCTTTCGGTCTTCTTATGTGATAACCCACAAAGTAAGGGAAAGTTGCGTGAATAATTATACTGACGTTCAAAAGAAGGGCATTCCTCAAACCATGGTTGGGGTGTGGTTAAGGGTCGAGTGGTCTTGAGTAATGATGAGGTTGAAAGATATGTTCGGAATTCATTCTTGGCCAATAATAGGACTGGCATACATGTAATCCACGAAGGGAGGCGCAGTAGGTTTTCTTCCTGATACCAAAATTCTTTTGCCACAATGCTAAGGAATACATAAGATTGAGACATTAGTCTCTCCCCCTTTCAAAACTAGAAGTAGCTCTGAGACTAAGAGAACTAATTCTGAAGACTATTTTTGTATTTCAACTTGAATTTCCTTTAAACTTCTAATTCATAGGAAGGAGTTTCCAAGTTTTGGTACTGAAGAGGCTTTCTTAATTTCTCCTTGTTTTGCTACTGCACAAAATTCTGAGCAAAAATTACTCTATCTAACCATTGTAGAAAATTATATGGTCAATGCAACAATTATACAATGAAAGTTGAGAATGATGTTTTTACAACCAATTCTAGTCAAATCTCTGTTCGGGAAGCAACATTATCTAGAATTTCCCACGAAATAAAACGGATCGTGCCTATGAGCCTCGTGCTCTAGACTGAACCCTCTGCATCCTGATATTTTGTATCCTATATACTCTTCCTTGGCTTGGATATCGACTGAATACTCAAATCCCGCTCAAACGTCATAGAATAAGCACATAGCATTCTGGTGGCATGTACGCGATTCGCTTGCTTTCCCTGAAGCTCGATATTGTAATTGATCACTCCGCCACTTTACAATCCATGGTTTGGGTATACAGCCAAGATTCGTTCAGGGACACAACATAATTGGTCATTCCTCTTCTCAGGTCATATGCAGGGTAACAAAGGCACTTGTTGTCGCCGAGCGCGTGATGTCCTTTTGTATTTATGATTCAGCAAGTTGAACCGTTGGCGTAATCTCTGATACCGGCCAGTCTGTTCACAGCCCCGACGTGCAATTTTGACTTCAAAGGGTCTTACGTGACATTGCGAAGCCCAAAGTTGGGTGCAACCTCAGTACCTGATTGATTACAAGTCTTTCTACCCTGCATTTCACATCAACAAATGAAATTTGGATCTTGATACGAATCAAGTATGTATTGTAAAAGTAATATATGCAGCTCATAAAAATGAAACTGCGACAATGGAGCTTCTGTTGGAGAAGGTTGACTTGGAGCAATGCATGTTAAAGCAATCGATGTTGGATTGTCTAAGACGTTGCTGATTGCGCTCTCTCGGTCGACAACTCGGCCGAGTTTCCTTAGGTCCATATGTTTTTGGAGAAAAGAAGATGATAACTATTTTCTTGTATTGGAGATAAATTTGTGCGGAGACGGGGGATATACCCCAATATGTGACTTGAGCGTTTTGAAGAGACAAATACCCAACGTATGTGCTTGCCGATCTAGCTAACGTTGTGACAGCTACTAAGCGAAGACGGGCCGTGAATTTCCCGAAAATATCTCTTTCAAGATCTACACGGCCGAAAGGACCGTTGCGATGTCAAGAACGGTAGTGCAGGGAAGTTTATTGGCGGCCAAACTGGCCGCTGTGGATCTCGAACAACCCTGTTGGTGATCAACACCCATTTGAGGTATCTCATCCCCCCACTGATGTGGCTTTGCTAACAAAACTGTCAAAATGACGCAACTGTAGCCAGCTGTACGTACGCTGCGTAGGTGCAACGCGAGCCTGCAATCAACAATGCTCTACGGCTTCGTATACCCTGTCTCGAGAATACGCTAAGTCTTTACGAAATTTGATATAGATTGTAATACCTCTGCGTCCGGATGGGATCGGTATTGAATATACGTATGCATGTGCATATGTCCTGTATGTGCTAAGGTGGTGGGGCTCCGCAGACCCTGCCCGTATTGATAAACTCCGAATAGGAGCTGCGATATGTGCCCTGCTCTAGAAGTGTGGCCTGAGGACTGCGCCACGATGTGACCAGGATGGGTCCTAATTTAAGCCGGTGCAGGAGCAGCATAGAAAATGCGAGAAGGCCACTAGGAGGATACAATACCCCCCACACGCCTGTCAAATTCCCTCTTCCAGAGTGGCATCATGGACCTCGGCCGTGGATTCTCTACATCTGCGTCGAAAACTTCAATCACAACCTGGTGGTTTTCCGCAATATACGTCGCACTCCGTGATCGGTACTGTCGGATGACGGTCTTGTGTAGATTTAGTAGCTTGTCCTGGCGTCGCGCCACTATGTTCTTGAAAAGAGCCAGGAGAGACTCTTCAGATGGCTGCGGGAAGTTTGTGTTGACATGGAGCTCTCGCATACTATCGGGGAGCATGTCACCCATACAAGGTATGTCTGCATGGCGCCATGCGACGGCGCCTTCAGGAATTCTTGCTTCTGCGCCCTGTCGCTGACCACTTTCCAATGGCGGTCCGCAGAAACACTCGACATCAACTTCTAATCTTTCTAGTTTTGTGAAGCGGAGAAACGAAGACAGACCGTTTACGATTTCACCAAACAGTTCGTCGATGGTTATCGCAATGTCAACCAAGGTCCCGCTGCAATAGTTGGCGAGCGTTTCTAGGACCTCTCCAGGGTTCCAGTCGTATTGGACACCGTGCCATTTTGTTTGGTGTGAGTACCTGAATACCTGCAATGCTGGTACATTTGACAGAAAACCTGCGAGACCAGTTGCATTCATACAACAGCTTGCAAACTCGACCCGTGTCAGTGGGGACTTCGCATTTGGGTTCAGCCAGCGAAACCCGGGACCCCCCCAGCCTTCGTCAACAGCTGTACAGCTAACTGCATAGATATTTCTAATACTTTTCAACACCATGAGCGGCTCTATAACCTGGAGGCCAACTCTGATATCGTATCCTTCCTCCACGAATGGTAACAGGGTCTCCAGTTGCGCCAAAGGCTTTTGTCGATGCCCTGGTGCATTGGACATGGAAACCAAAGCCTGCACAAGGGGAACAAGATCCTCAGAGCCCTCACCTTCTCGAGTTTCATGCCACCTGTCGGGCAGCTGTAGCACTTTGAGATTGGGCAACAGACTCAACAATGCAATAGTCGCATATAGTTTGTCGATTTTGGATCCATTATGGGCCCTATCTTCCTCCAGAATCTGGCTCCACCATTCGTTCTCGTCAGCATTGGCGTAAAGTTCGGTCCTTCGCAGCAAGCTTTTAATCTCTTCCATTGCCTCGTCGTCGTCCCGGAAGCTATACTCGGCATCTTCGTCCATGACCTCATCTTCTGAGCCGCGATCCCACAAGTACAAACTCTCAATGTACTCAGCAATGATCGGTTCACGCGATATCTCGTGCAAGATAGCCAGTGTGTCACGGAGTCGAGTTGTGCTCAAATTAGATATATGGCGCCAGGTCCTTTTCAGAGAATTGTGGCGTTGAATTTGTGATGCGGCTCGAGAGTAAACGGCACGGCATGAGAGAACGAAGTTTTCCAGACCATCGGGTGCCGTGCGGTCGATGATCAGGTCAAGGATCTCGGGCGGGAGATCGAGGAGACGCATGGCAGCGTTGCTGGGAAAAGGTAATGATTCTGGGGCTTGCCAACAACGATAAGGCTGAAAAAAGGCAGATAAGGGTGTATGAGAAGGGGCTTCTCTGGTAGTGAGAATGGAGTCTCAAGAGATGCCGCAATCTGAATATCGAAGAGCCAAGATGGAGCTCCGCTACTGAGGGGCGGCTCTTGAGCGTCCGTGCGCAGATTTCGTAGTCACGGTCATTGAGGGCCAGACCAGCTGAGGAGCGGACATGATCGGAAACTTCTGGAAAGGCCATCTCTTCTTGATTGATTGTGATTGGTTCCGGCCGAATGCTCCTTTGGTGCGCGGATGAGAGTACTTGGTGGGGGTGCGCTTACCTAACCTGCATTAGTCTAATACCACCTGTTACCCTTCTTGCAACTCTGCAGGGTCGGGCTGGCTTCAGATGCCCTACTATCTACTTCCAATTTTTACGCAATTTCAAAATCAGCTGTTGTATCGCCTGCTTTGAACACAGCGCTCACCGGTTTTTGCTTCCAGTCACCCGTCGCGCAAAGGGGAACGTACGGCATGGCAAGTATTTGTCAACCACAAGAGGCTAGCTCCTTTGTACTGTCAGGCATGTCAGACAGCGGCTCCAAGTGGGGGATCTTATTAGACATTCGGTAAATAAACGACCATGGTACGATGGGCCATGAGGGGCTAGACCACACTGTTAGCAAAATTCCCATGTCCTAGCATCTATCACACACTTTATTCGGTGTTTAACTCTGCTTTCACAATATCAGGTATTCTCAGCTGGACACCAAGCACTCAGACTTCTTGTAGACAGAACCCATCTTTTCGACATTTGTTTGCCATGTGCACCATTAAACCCACTTGAAATGGTCATAGTGTTTTGGCGTTCTTGTTTTAGAGTCTCCTTTCTCAATTCGTCCTTCTTGGAAACTGGTTCTGACTGTGCTGACCTTGCCGTTTCGAGCTTGGACATGAGGCGGAACTACCATCATGCTCTCTCTCATGATACCTGTAGGTTTGCTGGTTTCCGATAGGAACCATGTACTATTTCGGTAGACTTCGCGTCTTGGTCTACGATATCGCCCAGCCCAATCGGGTAAAAAGCATGATTAGTTGCGGCAGCCCGCGATTACCGCCAGCTCAGACTGCCGAGCCTATCCTTTTCAAGCTTACCGCCCGGTAGGCTCCCCTGTGGTTGTTGAGAAATGCTCAAAAGTCTTGGGCAACCCATTTTATCAGGTGATTTCTCTCCAAATATTCACGGAGTTGGTTCTTGAAAGTGCAGGGGTTACGCCTGACCCACAAGACGTTTGTAACGTCGAAAGTCGCCATTCCGTACTTGGCCGATGCACGGATCGATCTGAGAGGAAGTTGCCGGCACATATGTATTGTTGTAATAGCCATTTCTGTTCATACGATAAAGAACAGAAGGGATACCCTGGTGAGAAAAGAAACCATAGCCAACAATCGATGGAAGCTTGTATGGTCATGATTCCCAATTGATAAGCGGAAATTCAGTGTACTGGCTTTGCGACACCGCTCATTTTGGAATTTGTCTCATTCCACGACACTGAGGTCAAAGTACCCAGACATGTACTAGACGCAATGGCGTGACGGCTGGATGGCCCGAAGTTGATATGACTACCCGAAAACGTGACTGGCCGCCGCCATGTTGCCATTGTTCCATCAATCACATGAGGGTAATATTTACCAGGTAGGTATCGTGAAATAATCACTGAGTAGCAACAGTTTAGCTGCATGAAGACTTGCGCAAAATCAAGCCAACATTGTATTTCGCGCGAAACAACATAGCAGGAACTCAGCACAGGTCGCGATAAGACTGCCATGCAAAATTGGTTCGATATGATAGTTTGCAAGAAGCTTGAAGATGGACTGCGGAGTATGCCCCAGACGTCGATGGTGAGGTGGCAATGGACAGGAATGTTTCCTGCCAACTGAGGAACACGCTAGGCCACTAGCGCGCTCCACTCTTCCCTCAGTGGAAGCAAGAGCCGCGCAACACAAACAACTGAATCCATTGACATACACCCATATCACTAGGAATGAAGCTGATATATCGTGTCGCACACATCTCGCTCGTACTAGTTCTGTCTGCTTTACTCGTCTACAGCGTCTACTATGCTTTCGCCATACTCGTCGAGGACCGGCGTCCTCACTTACCGCCTCCAAAAGAGGACGTTGGCCCTCGCAAACCATCACCACAAGATATCGTAAGCTGCTCAAATACACGCCATCGCCTAGATGAATTTCGAGATTCTGATGTTGCATAGGCTAGGTCTATGAATACGATGTGGAATTATCTCGACGATTGGGACGAGGACCATTGCATCAATGTATGTGAAGCGTCCTGGATCGCGTGCCGATTGAGGAGTTGCGACCACCTTCCTGGGGTTCGAAAACAAGAGCTGTGAACCCATGGTGCAACCGACTTGGCAAATTGATAGTATCAGGTGGATATAAGCCCCCAAATCACGAAGATTGGCCCAAGAGCCTCGGACAGCTTGTGCTATCATGTTGGGCCCTTTTATTCCTTAGGGCAGAGATACTCAACGGACCGAAAGTTGACGATTTTTAAGTCAAACTCCCAGGAAATGTCATGTTCGTACTGCAAGGACTTTTTTTTTGATGCTGAATACGGATACATCTAAAAGGTATGAGATGTCAAAGATGCCATAGAGCCAGCCATTGACTGGGAGCACTAGCAGGCATTCGGTCTGTCATCAAGCTCTTATAAAGATGCTTTTACGATCGATGGTCGCTGTAATAACGCGTTGGATTTTGCCATACATTAGTTCAGGACGTATTGAAACTAGCCTTTGGGCAATACATCTATCACGTCACAGCCTCCCTCTATATTCAACCCCAGTTCACACTCTCATCTACATCCGGATTTGCATCTAGCCAGGCTCTCACATCTCCTACATCAACCGCCAAACCCGGATGCTCCTTCAGCGCAGTCACCATTACGTCTCTCATCCCCCTATCATCATCCGGTGTAGCTGTGAACGCCTCTTCCAATGCATCGGCCAGCTCTAAGCTCTCATCCTGCCAATAAACATGCAATACATCCTCCACACCCTGCTGCGCGTACGATTTGAGGTCAAACATGTCGAGGTAGTCTGCAACAGTGTAGATGCGTACATGCATGAGGAGATGAGCAGGAGCAAGGCACTTCCCAGCACAAGGACACTTGCGCTTGAAAATCTTCGGACTGCTGACAGGTCCCTCTAGAAGAGCCAAGCTGCTGTGTTTACAGTAGTCGGTTGCAGGTATGGTGATGCCGTATGGGAGCGCATACATGCCCGTGTACATGTAATCCAAGACCTGTTTCATGGACAGCGCATCAACATCTGGCACGTCTACTTCCTTGTTGCTGGTCTCCTGCACGATTGGTTTAAATATGAAGGACAGCTGGATTCGGGAAAAGGGGCAGGCTTACGCTACCACTGAAGCGGAACATTCGCGCAAAGTAAGGCGACGAGGCTGACAAAATTGCCTTATGGGCTGTGTACCGCATNCCCTCGCATATGATTGCAAAGTCTGCTGTTTCATCCCCGAGCGCGAGTTTGGTCTGCTTGATTTTGGGTTTGCTGGGTGTGCGTGGAAGACTCTCTATGCGGGAGACAGGAGACCCTCTGCAATGCGGGGTTTTTGGTTCTGCCCTGGATTGCAGAGGCGATTTCTCAACAGAATCCATGATTTGCAGATTCGCCGTCGGTTCCAACACTAATCAGGGGCCCCGGTCGTGCAGCGAGCGTAATACGAGTGGTACGATATCTTTACGGGGAAGAAATGACAAGAGTCGCTTTAATCCATATGTGTCTGAAAGATTTATCACACCGCTACGACAACGCGTGAAATGATAGATGGAGAGCTGGCAGTCTGTGGAAGCCCGACAAGCATCGATGATGTCGACGTCGCGCCCTAGTGTGGGAGGCAACGGGTGCGGTCCGTGCTCGGCACAGGCGAGGTGGAGGTGAATGCAAGGATCCCGCCCGCATTATCTCCGCCCAGCGACTGCCACATGTCAGCCTGTACGCTCACAACATCCAATCAACGTGACTGCTGCCTTGGGATCCGAAACATATCTGGGGAGGTGCGGCAACTAACTTGGGCAAGCCGGTATCCGGTGTCGACCTTGATTGGTCGCCTGACGCTGCTGCCTGTTCTCGTACAGTAAGCCAAACAACCAAGACTTTGTTTTTTTCTTGCTACTTTTTTTGCAACGAAAGCTACGATACCAGGCTTATCGAGTCCAGACGAAGTCACATAGAAAGAAATGCAATGAAAAGCTACCTGGGTTTTACAGGGAAAGAAACACTTCTTGTTATTAAATATCCTACTGCTTCTATAACACTGTCACACGCCTGCAGAAACAAGTAAGGAGAAGGCAAAGCGTGTGCTAAGGAGCGACGATAAAAGGGCCCATCTTACAAAGTAGGGACCTTGATGTAAGTTCAATCTGATGAAATTGAGAATTAAAGAGGCTCGACTGCCTCAAACTGAGAAGGAAAAACGACATGTAGCGCTCATAGCGGTATACCTAGGGGACTGAGGAGACCGCCGGTAGCGGCTGGGCAGAAGCTAACAGTGTTAACGACCGTGCTGCGTACAGTCACAGTGGACGTGGCGATAGCGGTCGCCAGCGTTGGGCTAATCGCAGTAGCAGTAGCGAAGAGGGGTGTAGAGGTACTACGATTAGGTCAGCAAAGCCATCTAGAAGAAGGGGCGGGGAATTCTGACGTCAAAACAGTCGAGCCTACTGTGGAAGTTTGCGTGGCAGTAACATGGGGCTGGGTGAAAGTGAAGTCAGGACCCAAGAATAATACACGCTTATCAAGCTGTTTCTTTGGCGCGGGCTTTACAACACGCTTGCGTCGCAGCTTGAGTCTTGTGCACCCGGAGATCTTGCTGCTACCGTTAACCTCAGGGTTCAGACGGATAGGTCCTGCAGAGTCCTTCGTGTAGCAAGGGCTCTGGACGCCAGGAGGTCGCATGACAAAGGATATAGCAACGCAGCCTGGCGTCTGATCACATTTCTCAAGGCAGCTTTCGTAGCTGTCTACAAAGAAAAGTCCACCGGGGACTGTGATGAATGTTAGCATAACACATCAATATTGCATATCATGTCACTCACTATCGTTGCCGTAGCGGTCCTGAGCACACTCTACAGCGTATTTAGCTCCGCAAGTGGTGGTATATGTGCTGCCGTTATCTGCAGGGCACGTAACGGAGGTGGGCTTGGGGAACGAAGTAGGAGTGCAGGCGCACTGGTAACCGGTATTAGAGATTGTCGTGGTCACAGTCACAGTTGTTCCGGATGGAGCGGACGTGGCAGACGTAGCGGATGTGGAAGTAGGCAAGACTCTGATCAGCTTGGCACCAATGATTGTGCTGTCAATTTTGAAGCCACTGCCAGCGCCAGTCTTCAAGTAGCAAGGACCGCCTTTGACGTAGGCAACTGCAGTACAGCTAGGCGTGGATGAACAATCAGCCAAGCAGCCCTCGTACGACTTGGGGAATGTAGGGGACAATGGAGACGATATGTCGTTGTTGAAATAATCAATGCCGCAGGTGATTAGGTATTGTCGTCCGCCAGCAATCACGGTTGATAGATTGGAAGCGGGACAAGATACCGCGCTGGATGTCGGACCGACTCCTGAAGTAGTTGTGGTACGGATGGTGCTTAGAGTCGCCACAGTAGAGCCTGGGGCTGTTGGGTTGGTGCTCAACGTTCCACCAACAGAGCCAGGAGCCGTCGGGTTAGTGTTTGTTGTTCCTCCATCAGAACCGGGGGCCGTTGTAGTACGAACAATGCTTCCGGCAGACTGAGCTGGTGGGACAATTGGGGGTAGCAATGCAGATGGAACTGACACACTTGCAAGCCTAGCTCCCCAAACAGTCGGGTTAACATAAGGCTGTCCGATTCCGTATTTTAGATAGCATGGGCCGTTGGGCAGATAGGAAACCGCCTGGCACAAAGAATTGGCAGCACAAGCTTGGATACATTGCTCGTAGTTTGTAGGGTTGTTGGGTGCCATGCCAAGATCGTAGTCATAATAGTCAATGGAACATTCAAGGACAAAGTTGCCTCTGGAAGTGCTGTACATCGACCCACTGTTGGCGGGACAAGAGAGGATTGAGGGAGGTGCTGAAGACATGGATGAGGAAAGAGCAACCGAGCTTGGAATTGAAACGCCCGTAGGTAGGGATGACATGGGACCCGATATCGACGGTTCACCCGTGATAAGAGAAGATACTGGCAGAGACATTATCGAAGTCGGCACAGGAATGATCGAGGTTGGAATCGGGATAGGAGACGTGGGAACTGGAAGGGAGCCAATTGAGCTCGGGATGGTTGGAAGAACCGTTGGCAATGAACCGATTGAGCTTGGGATTGATGCAAGCGATGTAGGGACAGGAACAATCGAAGTCGGCAAGGGAACAACGGAGCTTGGGATTGATACAATGGAGGTTGGCAGCGGTAGAGAGCTAATCGAGCCTGGCAGCGAACCGATCGAACCTGGGATCGAGAGAATAGAAGTCGGGATTGGAAGGGGACCAATCGAGCTTGGAATGGATACGATAGAGGTTGGAACTGGTAAAGGCCCAATTGAGCTAGGGACCGATATAATGGATGTAGGTAGTGCGCCTGATAGCGATGATAGAGCTGTACCAAGGGGAATGGAAGACAGTGGTAAGGATACACTCAAAGATGGGATGATAGAAGGGTTGATGGAAGGGATGATAGAAGAGCTCAGGACTGGGACCGATGCGATAGTGGATGTAAGTGCTGACGGTACCAGAGAAGAGATTATAGGAGGGCTAAGAGAGGGTATCAAAGAAGTGCCACTTGGGAGAGGAATGGGAAGTATGGAAGAAGTGAGGACCGGGACGGAGACTGGGGGTATAAATGTAGGAAGAGACTGAATGATGGATGTAATACCAGTTGGGGCTATAGATGGGATAATGGATGAGATCTCTGGCACAGGGACTGGTATAATTGACGAGACCCCTAGTAGAGGAGCGGAGAGAAGAGACGAGACTGCTGGTATAGGAGCTGAGAGGATAGATGAGATCTCTGGCACGGGGACTGGTATAATCGACGAGACCCCTGGTAAAGGAGCGGAGAGAAGAGACGAGACTGCTGGTAGAGGAGCGGAGAGAAGAGACGAGATCTCTGGCAAAGGAACTGGTAGAATTGACGAGACCCCTGGTACGATTGACGAGACCTCCAGGAGAGGTGCCGAGAGGAGAGAAGTAACGCCTGGAAGGGGAGCCGATAGAATGGATGTAATATCTGGCAGAGGTGCTGAGAGTATCGAAGAAACGCCTGGCAGAGGTGCTGGTAGAATGGATGTAACACCTGGCAAAGGCGCCGAGAGAATAGATGAGACCTCTGGTAGAGGAGCTAGCACTATAGAAGAAACCCCCGGAAGAGGTGCCGAGAGGAGAGAAGTAACACCTGGAAGGGGAGCCGATAGAATGGATGTCACGCCTGGAAGCGGGACTGAGAGAATAGGTGAGACCCCAGGTAGAGAAGCCAGAGGATCTCCAGGGATGATAGAGGAAACTCCGGGAAGTGGAGCTGAGAGAATGGATGTGACACCAGGCAACGGAGCTGACAGGATGGATGTGATCCCGGGTAGGGGAGCTGATAAAAGAGATGAGACCCCGGGAAGCGGAGCTGGTAGAATCGATGTAACTTCGGGTAGCGGAACTGATAGAATCGAGGAAACCCCTGGCAGTGGAGCTGGTAGAATCGATGTAACTTCGGGTAGCGAAGCTGGCAGAATTGAAGTGACTCCTGGCAGGGGAGCAGACAAAACAGACGTGACTCCAGGTAGGGGTGCTGATAAAAGAGACGAGACCTCGGGCAAAGGAACTGGTAGAATTGAAGTGACTTCTGGCAGAGGAGCCGAGACAATGGAAGTGACGGCTGGAAGGGGATCTGAAAGAATACCTGTATTCAATGGCAAAGAGGATACCAGTGGCAAGGAGGATATTAAAGGTAGCGATGATACCAAAGGTAGCGATGATATCAACGGTAGGGATGATACCAACGGGAGAGACGACACGAGCGGTAGAGATGACACTACCGGAAGGGACGATACTAATGGCACGTTCGATACCAAAGGTACAGCCGAGGTTAAAACTCCCAAAAGACCTCCTCCTCCACTTGTTGGACAAGCGCTAACGGTACTTGTGGACAGTGCAACACTGCTAACGACCTGTGTCTGTGTAGTTGTTCCGGTAGGAGTAAAGACGGTTGTCGTAGCTATAACTGCACCGCCAGGTGCAAGGACCATTTGCGTTGTCGTTGTAGTGACAGAAGCCGTTGTGGTGGCGACAGTAGCGGGCGCGGGCGATGTACCGAATGTGGCTGTAAACGCGCGAGGAAGGGGAGGTGGCAGTAAACCGCCAATAACATTGTTGATGGTCAAAGCACCAGTGTTCGGGAAGTTGCTTAGAGCGGCACTACTACAGATGATACTGGTGTAGGTTGCAGGGATGCCGGAGGTAGCGTATGAACAAGTCCGAGTGAATTGTGCTAAGGTGTTCGAGATGACAGGCGTGAAGGTGGGCTTTGTTCCAGCGAAACATGTTGATGCGCCAGACATGTAAGTCATTTGAATGCCGAAATATTCGCCTGCTGTATGTTTTAAATGGTCATAGCTGAAGGTTGGAACTGCCGTCCCTATAAGAGATGGCAATCCAGCGGCCACGAGCGAGCAGCCCGACATGGCTGTGATAGTGCGAGGTTAGCGAGTGTATCAATGGTAAAGAAGGTAAGGGATGAGTGACTGGATAGACTTTGAGGGCGAAGGTGCACCTCCTTATAAGTCTCTTGAGCTGATAAAAAGAAGGCAAAATCACCTTCCCGCCAGCGCTCGGCAGTATGAAATGATGACGGGTACATAGTCCGGAGTTGGGCAGTGTCGGGACCCCTACATGATGTTAGGGGTAATTTTGTCTTGTATGGATCGAAAACCTGTCCTCATTGATTATCCAGCAACTATTTAGCGAAGGGCCGCATATCGTTGACGCGTTTTCGATCAATGCATCGATTTCAAAGAGTGTCTAATGAGATGTTGTTAGATAATACTAGATGCAGGGCCCAGGATACCATACTGATTCCAAGCATGCATACATCAATTCCGAGGCTTCCTATATGGCACTATCAGAATGCTATGCAGAATTGAAGGGCAAAGTCGAGTTGAACGGGGGCATCAGCTCACGCCTTCAATATTTCGCGAGTACGGAGATGACATGCTTCAAAAGTTCACCCACGTTGCATGTCCTGTGATCTCGCATTCACGAGATTGCAAACATGCTAGACCAAACCGAGATCGATAGTGTTACTACTAAGGAACACATTAGTAATGGTACCTTTGTATTTGCATGCTTTCACATGCATGGGTGTCTGAGTGAGAGCCACTGACCTACCCAAGGAAAGCCTGCGCATATCGCCATATTAAAATGAGTTGGTAGTACTGAGTCTTAGATCTGCAATCGCCCAAGTACCCACTGAACCAGGTCTTTAATCACGGTCACAGCGGGTAGGTACCTATGAACGAACTCGTCCACATCTTTACATATTATCATGAATGCATCAGTCTCATGCATGAGACAACTGGTGGCGAACGGTGTGTAGCGCTCGAAATATCATGAAGCAAGAGTGTTGGGAAGATTGAAAGGATCCGTGTTGCGCATTGGAAGATGATCTGCAGACTATCCTAGTGTCAGTAGAAACTTTTCGTTCATTGTCAGAGCCAGCAATCGGAATGCGACGTTTCAGTTGAAACCGTAAAGGTCTCTACTTTACTTTTTGCATACTATAATGACATAAGACATCCGAAATATTTCTTCACATTCCCTTGTATCCCTTACTCTTTTCGCTATTAAGCGCCAATGTCACGCCCTTGGGCAATAGGCACTTTCACAAGATTTGTCAGCTCACATCGGGTGACATCCCTTGCTCTGCGGTTATGAGCCAATTCAAAGGCGCGCATTACAAAGACATTTTGCATAGATTTTCAGGAGCACAACTGCCCTGGCTATCTTGGCCAATACCTTGATGTGACGGCGCCGTGAGCTGTAATACTCAGCACAGCTTGTGTAACTTCGACTCTAGATAAGGAAATCGAGTTCTGATGGATTTCGAGGGTCTCCAGTATATGCAGGGACTTTGAGCCCCGCTGAAGACAATGAAAAGCTGGATTCAATATACCATCGAAACAGCGCGTTGAAAGAAGTGTTGTGGTCCTAATCTGCAGAGGACCAGTGGAGTGAATATTGCAGCCGATTGAAACAACGGTAGGAGGGATTCGGTATGGTGCACATGGCCACTTGTGGCAAAAGAAGAGTGGGATGGCTAACAAAAAGGTGAGTGGAAGGTGCGTGCAGGAGCGAGGACGAAAAGAGTGCCCGTTCTGAAAGCGGTCAGTACGTATCCGTGATGTCATAGTATAGTATCGCGCGACATGTACTGCGCATCGAAGTACTTCATTCTATTCACATCATGTCTTTCAGCACATATACAATCAACATACAATCAATTTCATGAGCTGCGAATAGCCAAACATAGAGCAACGAGGTAACGTAAGGTATCTATAACGCAGCTAGCATATACTACTCGACACGCCTTTGCTCAGTCTCTTACCTCACATGTCTAACGGCGCTATTCTCAAAAGCATTCCTTCTCAAATTAGCTTGCGCTTTGTGATGCATCGTTACCCCCGCCCTCCTCCAGGTCAATAGCCTGATACCCATTACTCTCCCAAAATGGTTTCTCTTTTCTCTTACTGCCAGTCAATGAAGCTGTCAGCCCGCAAGGGTCGATAAAAGTCATCCACCAAGGCATATCATCCTTCCAACCCGGGCCTTGTAGCTCAGTCCGACCATTCTGTGCCACGTATACATGGTAGTCTTCCGGTAGATAGTGGCGTGGATGCCGGTAGTTCCATAATATGGAGTTTACCAGCATGGGACTTGCTTCGAAAACCCAGAAAAACCATTCATACCTCAAGACGGGAGAGAGTGTCTGAGGATCCCAGTCTGGTGATGAATGTTCATGAATGGCGGTGGTTCCAAAATGTTCGATTATGCGGTAGACGGTGCGAAGGAGGATGAGCATCATGCTCAAGTACAGCGTTACGAGCGGGCCTCGTACCTTGCGGGTGGTAATTCCTCCCCTTATGCATCGTGCATGGAAGATGCCAACGATGATGCAGAATACGGTGATTACACCGACCTGCAAGACCAGTGATGCTTTCAAAAGCACATCTCCTCTCTTGATGTATGACCTGGGGACGTTTGGGTTGGCAATCCAGGCAACACCGATAGCATTAAGAACTTCGACAATGCTCGACACGAAGCCAAAGGTGGTCAGAGTGCGGCCTGGATGGAGGGGCGAGTAGTAAGGGACGTAGTAAAGGATGCGACCAAGTACGTGGTAGTTGGCTAGCTCGAGGATGGGGCTGTCTCACAGTGTCAGTCTTGGAGGATCCAGGTTGAATATCCGGTTATCACTTACGGAGCGCAGTATATGAGTATGGTGCTCGCAATATACACATTGACGTCTTTGTAATGAATTGCGCCATAGGATCGAAGGGCGAATCCTGCTGTAAAAAGAAGGCCACAGACGGGATGAAGGCCTGTGACCTTCCATGCTTTGTATTTGATACATTGACATATGTGCGCGATTGTTGCGACCGCGAACCATGCTGTGAACATTGGCGGAGCCCAATTCACTGGATCGTAGAGGTAAACGCTACCCGGGACTATCTCGCCGTTGCTCATTGTAAGAATGGATGAAAAACTCGAATGCTGATGGGGGGAAAGGCTGGCGATTAAGCAAACCTAATAGCTCTTATGTCCTGAGTAACATGTTCAAAATGTGGACAGCCGCCATGAGATAGTCCTTCTGTTATGAATTTTCTCAAACAGGCTTATTGCCAGGCCAAGATTGACGGAAAAGGTGCTAAGTATTCTATGTGTACAACGCTCAGGCAGTTCCGACCAACCAGTTTGCAGCCTTGTGGTAATTGCAGAGTTGTTCCTTGAACAGGTTAGGATGGTCATGCGTGGCTGTGTGGTAACTTCGACATGATTATAATCGCGGGTAACCAGGCATGACGTCCTTTCAGTAGACTAAAGACTACGAAGCGAGCTGTATGCGAGTCGCTTATTATTTCTCGACTTGGAGGTCCGTAGTGGCGTCTCCCGCCAGTGCTTAGAGAGGGCGCTTGAGATTACTCCACATTTGTTCCTATTGATGGAGATTGACAAGAGACACGAGCGTTGAGTGGCTACATAGACATCAGCAACTGCACCATGGACTTGGCGATCCACAGATTCACAGCCTCTTACCTATGATTTCCGTTGTAGAACGCAAGCAGCAAGTGTTTAGGGTTCCAATAGCCTCACAGCGAGTGAGTAGAGCCGCCCCCACCGGCATTACCGATGGAAGCAAAGCTGAAGGCCCCTTGTCACGTAAGCAGGCAGATTGCGGCTAGTCCCAATACGGCAGTAACGATGGCCAAGTATTGGGGGCCAGTTATCAGGGCTCATCCTCGGCGGGGCATTGCATCTCTCAGCCACAACAACGAGATCCAACTCTCTGTGGTAATAAGAGAGCAAACATGCTCGCTGCTGCGTGTAGTTTAACCCTATCACAACGGCCGCAACTGCACATGCGGGTACCTCGAGGTCCAGACTAAGCCGGACACGTACTTGGAGACATCAGGGTTCCGCCTGCATCAATAGCAAACAAAACACTTCTTCGAGTCGATATGGCCTTGCCCGAAAAGGGAGAACCGAAAGCAACCCGACAATGCTGGGAATGCTCGAAACGCCGCCTTGTATGTGACTGCACACTACCCCACTGTAGAAAGTGCCAAAGAGCCGGACGGCAATGCTCTGGCTACGACGATACAAAACCACTCCAATGGGTCCAGACGGGCATGGTGACTTCAAGACGGAGAAAGAAGAAAGATAACAGCCCGCCAAAAGTATACGTTGCGACTCCAACGTCGAGCCAGGACCGGCAGATCTCGTGTCAGGATGGTGGAATATTTGAGCACGAGTTCTACGGACGCATGTACGAGAACGACTACATTTGTGAGCCGGTTGATTACGAGGACGCTTTGGCTTCGTTCTATGAGAAGCAGGAGGGTGTACCCAAAGTTAGCGCGCCGGAACTGCACGTTTCCGCAATCAAAATGACGGCTTGCGCTAATGAGGCTGCTCGGATATTCAAGACTTGGGGAAGGGCCAAGATTG